ACCACCTCGGGACCTCGCCGCCCCCTGGGGGGCTGCGATCTGCGCAACTGTCGCCACTTTCGTGGGCTCCTGGGAGGCCCAGCGGAGGTGGGTCCCACGCGGACCACCTCGGGACCTCGCCGCCCCCTGGGGGGCTTGCGATCTGCGCAACTGTCCGCCACTTTCGTGGGCTCCTGGGAGGCCCAGCGGAGGTACGTCCCACGCGGACCACCTCGGGACCTCGCCGCCCCCTGGGGGGCTTGCGATCTGCGCAACTGTCGCCACTTTCGTGGGCTCCTGGGAGGCCCAGCGGAGGTACGTCCCAAGCGGACCACCTCGGGACCTCGCCGCCCCCTGGGGGGCCTGCGATCTGCGCTACTGTCGCCACTTTCGTGGGCTCCTGGGAGGCCCAGCGTAGGCACGTCCCACGCGGACCACCTCGGGACCTCGCCGCCCCCTGGGGGGCCTGCGATCTGCGCTACTGTCGCCACTTTCGTGGGCTCCTGGGAGGCCCAGCGTAGGCACGTCCCACGCGGACCACCTCGGGACCTCGCCGCCCCCGGGGGGGCTTGCGATCTACGCAAATGTCGCCACTTTCGTGGGCTCCTGGGAGGCCCAGCGGAGGTGGGTGCAGTTTTGCGCCCCCCTTGGACCATCTCAGCAATCAGGGGGGCGGGTCTTGGAGGCGATCTTGACTGTCTTGGCGCTGATTTGGCCAACGGGAGACGCATCTTCGGCGGCTCTCCGGGCGGTTCTCCGGGTGGCCGGCGGGATAGGCCGAGACCCTACTGGGAACCGAACTTTCCCGGCACGACGTGCACCCCTGTGGCAAGCAAACAACAGGAGGCGGCGGATGTGCGTAGCAGTTTCGGCCCATCTTGGCTGCAGCTGCCCTCTCGGCACGCGGCTGGTGGTCTGCTAGGCGCAAAGGTTTGTATCTCCTTGTTCTAATTCCCGGGGGGGTCCACTGTCTAGAATACCGGTTTTTCCTTTTCACACATCATGCAGTTTAACCAATTTTTGGCCGGTTGCTGCATTCAACTGTTTCTTACTTCGATGTCGGCCCATCCCGCCACCGCGCCTGGGTCGTGGACAAAGGGCATCCTCGATGCCTCTCAAGGGGCCTCTTGGGGGGGGGTTCTTGGGGGGGCCTCTTGGGGGTGCCTGCGGGGGGGGCTCTTGGAGGCCTCCCAGAACCGCCCCCCGCGCGGCACCGGGGTAAGCGGGCGGCGCGCGGAGGATACACCGCCGCTCCGGAGGTCGGGGTGGGCCTCGCGAGGTGGCGCAAGCGGCAGCTCGCTCGGCCCAGCGTTTGCGGTCGTCCTTGCTTCGCTCCTAACAGGAAGCGCATGTTTTTATTCGCGGCCCTCACGGGCGCTGCGGGGGGGGAGGGGGGGGGGACGGGGGAGACACCGCGTAGCGCCCCCCACCCCCCGTCTGTGGTGCTGGAGGCACTGCGGCAGTACCGGGGGCGCCCTGAGAGCGGGGAGCGCTACGTTATCGGGGGGGAGCGGGGGGGGAGGGGGCACAACGCGCGTGATGGCCGAGCGGGAGAGAGAGAGAGAGAGGAGGAAAAAAAAGGGAGAAAAACAAAACACACACACACACCAACACCAACACCAACACCAACACCAACACCAACACCAACACCACCACCAACAACAACACCAACACCACCACCACCACCACCACCACCACCAACAACAACAACAACAACAACCACAACCACAACCGCAACAACAACCACAACCACAACCACAACCACAACAACCACACCAGCACCACCAACAACAACAACAACAACCACAACCACAACCACAACCACAACAACAACAACAACAACAACAACAACAACACCAACAACAACAACAACAACAACAACACCAACAACAACACCAACAACAACAACAACAACAACAACAACAACAACACCACCACCACCACCACCACCACCACCACCACCACCAACAACAACAACAACAACAACAACAACAACAAAAACGACGTCAGGGGGCGAGCAATGGGGAAACCTCTTTTCCGTCGCAGAGCGGCAAGGGCAGTCCGCACGCGGTGTCAGGCAAGCCGGGCGACGGCACGGCGAACTGCCCGGGTGCAGGGAGGGGGAGGGGGGGACAGAAGAGCGGCAGCGGGAGGAGGGGAAGTAACTAAAACGCGCGCGCAGCGGGGACCGCAGCGGAGCGGCCGGGGGCGGCCTAGACAGTACTTCACCCCTGGCAGCGGGCCCGGGGCGGCGGACAGGGGGAGAACATGCAATTCGTCGTAACGATCGTATGCTGCCACTACCCGTGGCGTTGTGGCTCTCAGCCTAGGGGGGTCAACAAGCAGTCTGCCATCCCAGGAGGCTGGGGAGTTTACCGCGAGGCCATCATGTAGGGGGGGGAGGGGCTGGCCTCGAACGCAGCGAGGACGATGAGGAGCAGGAGGAGACGGATGGCTGCATCATTTCCGACCCTGGAGCCCACAGCGACAGCAGCGACACGAGGAGGAGGGATCCTTCGGGCAAGATTCGGAGCGCTCTGTCTGCATGCTGGAGGCACCAGGCTGTCGAGAGAGAGAGTGAGAGAGACAGGGAGAGAGGAGGGGGGCCGACCTCGAGCAGAGGAGCAGAGAACGACATGGGCACAGGCACGGGGCCGCGAGGATTCCAGGGGGGGCGAGGGCGTCCGCGCTGGACCCGCCCTCCTGGCGCCGACCCACGGAACCCGCGCCGACCCCCGAGTGCTCACGCGTAGCCTGCCCGCGCTCGGGCGCCCGTTCCCCGTGCGTGCTTCGGCTCGGTGCGTCTCAGTGGAGCGACATCGCGCAGCGACCTCACGCGGTGGCTCACGCGGGCCGCGGGCGCGGCACAGTGCCCTGTGAAACGAGGGCGCTTTTTTACGCGCGACCGCACGCGAGGAGCCTGCGCGCGAGCGTCTCGTCGCAGTCGAACCCGCCGATTCGCGTCGCGCACTTGTTCTGCAGGGTGCTCCGAGATGCTCCTCGATGGCCCTCGCCGGGAAAGGGTGCACGCGTCCGAGCGATGCCAGGGCATGCAGGCAGTGCCTCGTTCCCCGATGGAGGGCAGCGGAGCCGCCGCCGAAGCAGCGCCTCTCGCGGATCGGGGATCCTGGAGGGCCGAGGCCCGCGGAGGTCGAGGCCCCAGGGAGCGAGCATCGAGGATCCTTCCCCGCGTTCCTCTCCTCCTGCGCTTCGCTCCTCGCTCCTTTTCGCCCGTCCCTCCAACTCCTCCTCCATCTTCTACCTCCTCCTCCTCCTCCTGATCATCACTATCATCAGCATAACAACCATCATCAGCATCAGCACCATCATCATCATCATCATCAGCAGCATCATCAGCATCATCGCCATCTACATCCTCCTCCTCCTCATCATCATCAGCAGCATCGTCAGCATCATCATCAGCATCATCAGCAGCAGCAACAGCAGCATCGGCATCAGCATTAGTATCATCATCGTCGTCAGCATTGTCATCACCGACATCATACGCCATGATCATCATCACAAACACCACCATCATCACCAGAATACACGATGCATCATCATTCATCATCGTCATCATCCTCACCACAATCATCATCACCATCGCACCATCAACATCAGCAACAACAGCATAATCAAAATCATCACCGTCAGCATTACCATTTTCATCATGGTCGTCGTCATCATGCATCACGACAAGCATCAGCATCCAGCATCATCATGGGCATCAGCATCAGCAGAAGCATCATTATCATCAGCAGCATCACACAGCAATATGATCCCCATCGTCATCATCATCAGCATCATCATCCTCATCAGCACCATCATCATCACCACCAGCACCGCCACCACCACTATAAAAATCGTCATCACCACCGCATCACCACCTCATCATCATCATCGTCATCATGATCAGCATCATCATCATCAGCAACAGCATCATCATCAGCATCATCATCATCGTCATCACCATAATAATCATCATCATCATCATCATCATCATCATCATCATCAGCATCATCATCATCATCATCATCATCATCATCATCATCATCATCATCATCATCATCATCATCATCATCATCATCTTCATCAACATCATCATAAGCATCATCCGAATCCGCATCATCATCATCAGAATCGTGTTCATGGTGGGCGTCGTCATCGTCGTCACCACGATACATCTTATGTCATCACCACCATCACCATCCATGATCATCATCATCATCATCATCATCATCATCATCATCATCGACATCATCACCATCAGCCGCATAACCTTGAGCAGCAAATACCATCATCGACAACAACAGCATTACCATCATCATCAGCATCATCACCGATCACCATCATCATCAATGTGACCATCAACATCACCATTATCAGCATCACCATCATAATCGGTATCATCATCATCATCAGCATCATAATCATCATCATCATCATCATCATCATCATCATCATCATCATCATCATCGTCACCATCATCAGCATCATCCCCCTCCTACCTCTTACGACCTCCTCCATCATTATGCTCTTCCTGCTCTTCCTGCTCCCGCTCCTCTTTTTCCTTCTCCTCCTCTTCCTCCGTCTCCTCAAAGACCGAGGATCGATTGGCGGCCCGCACGAAGGGGTGTCCGCCAGGGAGGCAGCCGAATGAGGGGGTTCTAAGAAGAGAGGGGCGTTCTCAAAAGGGCCTGGAGGCTTTCTGGGGAAACTGGGAAGGAATCTGAGAAGGCCCCCGCCATCCCAGAGGCCCCACCTTATGACGCCGCCCTCGCGCAGCCCCCCTTTGTTCGCCACCAAGGCGTCACGGAGGAGCGTCCTCAAAGATCGAGGACCTTGGACGGGGAGGGGGTCCGGCGACGGGAGAGAAACCGTCCGCACACGTCTGGGGATGCGTTTGCATGATTCGCCGCCCTCTGGGCTGTCCACCTGGTGCCGGCCCTCCTGGCCAAGATAGGGGCAGGTGTATGGCCGGCGCCACCCGATGCCGATAACAAATTTCATGCCCCCGCGCCTCAGTCAGATCCTCGAGCCATGTGCAGGATTGTCGAAACTGCAAGGATCAGCGCAGTATCTTCCCCAGCCTGAATGTTCAGTCCGAGCTTCCACTTGGTTCCCCCCCACCCTATAGTCGCCACTGGCGGGTCCGACTCGCTCGTCGACTTGTAGAACCTGACGTCCCAGCCGGGCAAGGAGTAAGAGACGCAGTAATAGATCATGTCTTGGTCGCGCTCACGCCCGCGGTAAATCCGCCATCCCCCGCCGAGCTGGTCCTCTTTGATCGTGAAGAGCGCATCGTCGTTGTCTTTGGAACCGGGGGGCAAAATCCGGAACGACAAACGCCGCTGGAACCACACGTTTTTTGACGCGCGGATCTTGAACAGTTCTTTGCCCGAATCGTCGTATGCATGCATGCTCTGATGTCCGAAGGAGCTGGACTGCCACTTCCCTTTCAAATGGGCTATCGTCGACTTTGGTCGACCGTACGCAGGGTGCCACGTCGGATCGACTTCAAACACGCGCCCTCCATGCTCGACCTTCTCGAATTTCCACACGTACTCTTTCGTGTACGGACTGTTTCGCCAATGCTCGGTATTCTTCACCTGGTAAACCGCGCCAGGTGGCGGCACCATTGAGGGAACCAAAGCCTGCCCCGGCAGTCCTCGCTCCAGTGAGGCAAGGCCTGGCATTTTGAAACCTGGGTCCTCTGGCTCCGGATCTCGAACACGTGCCACGCTCAAACCTCCCAGCGATGCTGATGCATTCGTGAGACACTCTTGGAGGCAGCCGGGGGGTCTGAGCTGGATGAGCCCAGAGAACATCGGCCAACGAGAGGGGGATGACGGCAAATCCGCTCAACATCGGTCAAGAGACCCCTCCCCAAGTCGAAACTGACACACTTTTCTAGCCCAGTCCAGCCGTGGCGACACCGGATGGTTGCGTGATGATCGATCCCTAGCGATAGAAACATGAATGCCCATGTTGGACATAAACTGACACCTCTCTGTCAATAGATTGTTGATTCTGAGCCACGTCTACTTCGCAGAGTGGGGGGGGGCTGGCTGGTAAGGGGCATGCCACTCCTTGACAAAAGCATTTCCCCGATTTGTGGCCGCCGCGATCGCCGCGGCGACCTGTAAAACCGACCCAGAAGGTCGGCTCGAGGTCGGATATCGCGCAACGCAATAAGGCCCTTCTGCTGGCCGGAACCAGTGTTGGTCCCCGGCCGGCTCCAAAGACGGCTGCCCTCTCCAGCCAGAGCCAGCGGGCTCCCGACTGCGGCGTGCACGGAGGCGGCGGCCTCGGCATCGGAGGTCCCCTCGCCAACCGCGCCGTAGCTGGCAGAGAACCGGGCACCCGCTGCATATGCTACCAAGAAAGCAGCAGCCCACACAGGCACCAGAGCGGAGGGCATCGCGCGGGTCACGGGAGTGGGGCGCCCCCTGCCGCGAGGATGGGTTTAGCAGGCCGCGGCGAACATGTTACAATTTCTCGAGGGTGGTCTCAGCCAGACTGGCTACGGAGAAGAGGGGGGGGAGAACCTGGAACAAAAACCTGGAAAGCCGTGGAAGCACGAGTAGCAATTGTCCCTCGAGCCGCTGCCGGGGGTGAGGGTGGTGAATTCAATGCAGGGTCGAGCCTCGCGTGAAGAAAAAAACTGTGTTCCGCACGCGCGTTGTTGTCATGCTGGTGGCGCATGGTATTGGCATGTCCTGAGTTGTACGCGGCTGAGCTAGTGGCGTGCATGATTGGCATGTGTTCATGATGTCAGTGTTTGATATAGGGTTTCGGAGTATGATCATGGTGCGTGTTGGTGCTGCATGTTCGAAATGTGACTGTGCTAGTGGCGTTGGTTACTAATGCCTGGTACACTGAAATTGGTACAAAGTATTGCTAGGCGGTCTTGTTGTCTGTGCGTGATACCTGTTATTGTAGATGATATTGGTGGATGGCGTTGATGTGTGATGGTAATGGCTGCTGTTAGCGTATGTCATTAATGTGCGTGATGTCTACCTGCTTCCAGATGTTGGACGGAAGTATGTCAATGACGTCTGTCGTTGCTGCCTGCTTGTGCATGTGTTTGATGAATGCTCTTTCTGTCTCCGTATGAAGTGTGTTAGGCTTGTGAGCTGTCGATGTGTGTGATCGATGTATGTGCGCGTTGCCTGTCGCTGGCGCTTGCTCATGTCGCTGGGGCCAGCCCATGTGAAAGCCATTGAGGTATGTTCTGGGTGTCTGTTGACGGCGTGATGTCGTGACGCCTGGACAGCGTGACGCCGTGACGTCTTCCCGATGGGACTCGGCGAGGCGGGATCCCCAGTGGCCCTCCAGGGGACCCGGAGACCGGCGGCCGCCGCATGCCGGGTGGGCGAGGCGCGGCGGGAACCCTCTCCTGACAGTATGGCATCCCGAGCCTGTCGGGTGGACAACGTATAGGGCGAGGGCCGAGGGGGATACTCCGAGCAAAAAGTGCGGCGGGCATCGGCAGGGGTTGGAGATCAATGACAGTTGCCCCTCGGAAGGCGGGAGGAGAAGGATGGAGGACGAGGAGGAGGAGGAGGAGGTGGAGGAGGGGGGAAACAAAAACTCGCGGATCCCCTCCTCCTGCCTGCATGTCGAGCCCGCTGTGGCAGTGAACCCACGCTTGACACGCGCGCGCGTGCGCGCGCACGAGTGCTGTCAGGGCACTGTGCCCAGCATGCAAATGCTTTGCTAGCCCACCCTCGTGGGCACGAGATCTACTTTGTCGGTTATGCTGACGACAACGTTGCCTGCAGTAATATTTCGTGCCACAAGTGCGGCTCACTCGGCGAATCAGGTTCCAGAGGTTTTCAGAAAGATTACCCTCGGGTGTGCCCGAACAACGGCAAACCTTTGCAACTACAAAGAGCTTCTAAGAGGCAAACGAACCTACCTCGCTTTTGACCACCATCGCTCCCAAGCGGGAATCAAGACATACCAAGTGACCCGCAGGGTGGCAGGCAACGGTCACGCTGCTTGACGAGGCCGCGCATGGTGTGGCTTGGCTTTGACTGGAAGCGAAAGCGGCGCAGGCACGGTCGGGAACTTTTTCGAAGCGTGTCGCCGCAGCGGCACCGGCGACACGCTATCCCCTGCGAGCGGATAGCGTGTCGCTCCGCTCTGCGGGCTGGGAGGCTCGGAAAGCCTCGGAACGCCGTCCCCTGGGGTCCGCGAAAGGGATAGCGTGTCGCTCCAAAGCTTTGTGGGCCAGAAGCAGCGAAACGACGCACTATCCATCAGTTCCTGACCGTAGGTAATTCACCATCTGAGCTGTTGACGGCAGGCACCCGAAAGGAGGAGCTGATCCTGCGGTGACTTTGAAGCGGCCCCCGCCCCTCGCCCAAGCCGCGAGAGATGTGCAGGAGGCGAGCCCGCTCGCACGGGGCCGCAGGCTCTGGAGACAACCCAACTGGACCAATCTGCGTGCTGGTCCTCCTCCTCCTCCTCCTCCTCCTCCTCCTCCTCCTCCTCCTCCTCCCCCTCCTCCTCCGCCTCCGCCTCCGCCTCCTCCTCCGCCTCCTCCTATTCCCTGTCCTCCCTCTCTTCTCCTTCTCCCCTGATCCTCCTCCACCTCCTTCTTCTGCGAAGACCTCCGACGTCGAAGACGACGACGGCGGCGGCGGCGGCGACGACGACGACAAAGAGGAGAAATAGAGACCATCGCCATCGAGCAAACGTCGGCGAAGGCCCACCCATGGGCGGTGGCACGCCCGAGCGCCTCCCGGCACCACACGACGCCCGGGCGTACAACCGCCCATGGGCAGGTCCAGCGTCGATCCAAGAAATCCGCGCGGAGCTCCGAAAGTGCATGGTTGCGTAGTTCCCCAAACATGCTTGAGCACAAAGGGGTTCCCAACTGGTGATAAGGATTGCGTGCTCCGAAAGCCCTGCTGGCATTGCGGATGCACGGTGGTAGTAGTCGTGCACTCATTCGGTGAAAGCATCGGATAAGAATCTTTGAATGAGGGACCCAGGGTCTGGAAGCCGGTCGAACTCCAATCGTGGATTCGCTATGGACACTACCGCCGCCCTCATCAGATGAGGAATCCTCCAAGGTCTGAATGAAGCCTCCTGGGCGAATTCGTTAACGAATGCCCCATACCGTACCTGGAGTCGACGTTGGGGATACGTGTGAGCGCGGGCAGACAATCTCGACGTCGCCGTTGCTCGGAAAGGCGTGAGCGGGGAGCACGAGGGTCTGAGGCCCCTCCAGGGCTCCGGTGCTCCGGAGGGGCCCTGGATCTGGCCGCAATATCCTCGCGATCCGCCAAAAACGCCGGCCACGGCATCCCAAGGTGAACGACGATCAAGAACGAGTCTGACGCGAGGTGGCACAACGACACTGCGCAGAAACTTACGCGGGCCGCCAGCGCGGCACGCTATATTGAAGACGAGCGCGCTCACGCGCGACCTTACGTGGGCAGCTTACGCACCAATGTCGGCGCAGACGACCCCGGTGTTTTGCGTCGCTCAATTTGGATTAAGTCGGCCGAAAATTCGGCTGGCGGGTTCAGGAAACCCTGAACCAAAAAACCTCGCCATCTCTTGGGAGGCCGAGGTTTACTTCCGTCTGCTTCCGCCAGCGGAGCCGGTTCTCTTTTACTTCTGCCGCCTTCCGCCGCCTTCCACCGAGGAAGCGATGACAATTCCTTCGGTCCTCGAAGGCGAAGCTGGTTCCCAAACGCCTCGCATGCGTGCTTTCTGGAACGGCGGCCGCGGCGGCAACGCCCGCCTGCCGCGAAGGCGGCCGCGACGGCGGCGGCCGCCACGACGAGACGGCGACGGCGACGGCGACGACGGCGGCGACGACGGCGACGACGGCGGCGACGGCGGCGAAGGCGGCGACGGCGGCGACGGCGACGACGGCGGCGACGACGACGAGACGGCGACGACGGCGACGACGACGGCGACGACGAGACCACCTGCCCACGGCGGCGGCCGCGGCGGCGGCGGCGCTCCTGCGGGCCTCCCTCCGCGGGGGGCCCGGGCTCCCGGGCGTCCCCCGCGCCCGGAGCGGGGCGCGGCGAGGGGTCGCCTGCTCGCGGGGCGGCCGCCGCCCAGGAAGAAACGGGAGGAGGAGCAGGAGGAGGAGGAGGAGCAGGAGCAGGAGGAGGAGGACGAGAAGAGGAGGAGGAGCAGGGCCGCGGCGAGCGTGCGAGCGAGCCACCAATGCGGAGCAGCCTCGGGGCCTATCCGAGGCTGGGGCTGGGCGAGGCCGCGGCATCTCTCTCTCTCTCTCTCTCTCTCTTTCTCTCTCTCTCTCTCTGTCTCTCTTTCTCTCTCTCTCTCTCTCTCTCTGTGCGTGTGTGTGCACTGTAGGCACGGGCGGTGAGGATGCGCGGGAAGGACGCAAGGGCCTTGGAAAGCCATGTCGACACCTCTCGAGCGGGGCTCGGCCAGCGAGAGTGGCCAAGGATGGGCCGAATCGATAGGATGCAAAGGCAACGTTGGAAAATCGATCATCGTTACTATCAAGGTTGGCTGTATGTGCAGCCAGTCTCCACTTCCGAGAGCCAGAACAAGACGTGCTCCCCTTGTTTACTGCAGGGTCTTGCGCCGGGTCAACGAGGCGACAGGTCAGACACGAGCTGAGACAGGTGAGCAATTTACCGGACAAGACTTGGCGCTTGTCCGGTAAATTTACTGATGTAGGCTGGAAAAGAACTACCACAAGACGCTAACGAGACATGGTAAGGAGCAACTACCTATGGGGTTGACTGGGCGCTCAAGGGCCTGGGCGATGGCACAACAGAAACGAAGGGGATACGCGGCAGCTTGGGCAGTCAGGTGGATGCCCCTAACGTGCCCGTGAGGATGGTGCGGGGCTGCCCTGCAAGAAAGCAAAATCCTCGACGCCCAGACAGCCGGCAAGAGGGGGGCTGCAGCAACTGATGCAGACGCAGGGCCGTACAAATCAATGACCCAGCGCGCCCCTTAGGCCGGGCACGCGTCCTGAGCGGCAGCCCCAGGGGCTGCGCCCACGAGGCTCAGGGCGTGCCAAATCAGACGGCGCCCGCCACTCGGCTGGTGAGCCAGCCCTTCAGGGTGGCCCTGAACTCGGGGCCCAGGCGGTTTTCGCCTGGACCGCGGCAAGGGTCGAGATTCAATGCCGCCAACCGGCGCCTTTTCAGCGCCCCCGTAAGATGCACGGAGCCAGCGAACAGCTCCAGCGCCACCCGCCGCATCCGCCCATACCAAATGGCGTCCTTCAGCCTCCTCTTCAGGGGAGCGCTGAGACGCCAGCTAGCAGCGCGCAGCGGGCCGCTTCAGGACCCGCCTGCCCGCCGACGGCGGCGCGGGGCCGAGCATCCTGAGCACCGCTGCTGGCACCTGGCTGAGGATGCCCGCCCTCTGGAAGCCGTGCTTCAGGAGCGGCGCGAGGTGAACCTCGACCAGCCTCCCGAAGTTGAACGCGACTGCGTTGACCCTCGCTATCTTGTCCAGACGGGCGCTCTCCTTGCCGCAGCGCCGCATCGACGACGGCAATGCCCGTGGCCCCTTCCGCTGCACCTCGCGAGGGCGCGGCGGTCCGTCATCATGTCGTCCGAGGCCCCCCCCCGTGGCACAAGCTGTGCGGGTAAGGCCGCAGCGAAGCCAGGCTTAGCGCCTTACACGCGGCCTTGAACTGCAATGCGATGTCCTGCAGCGCGAAGCTCCGCAGCGACAACCCGACTGCAGTGGCCTGGCGCAGTGCGTCCAGCATCGGCCACCGCAGGGGCTGCCGCCACCCGAGGTACAGGGAGTCGAGTCCTGCCGGGAGCCCGTCGTCGCCATGCAGCTGCAGCCCCCGAGGCCCGGGGGAGGATTGGCACCGACTTCTTGAACATGGCGGACGCGACGTGCGCGATGGCCGCCATCGTCTGCGACCCGATGTTGCACGCAGCCCTGGTCAAGTAGTGGTCCGAGGAGTATTGAGCGAGCACCAGGTCGAGCTCCTCGTGGGTTTTCCAGCGCAGATGGTGCAGTCCGCACCACTGCACGAAGTTCTGCGGCAGCTGGCGATAGCTCCGATCGGTGTTCGAGCGCACGGCCAAAGTCCCAACAGGGTCAACCCCGCCACCAAGGACCGCTCGATCACGTTTTGCTCGGCCAACCTCCTCCTCGAGAGCGGTTCTTTATCTTCGGCGATGACGGGCGTCATGGGGGAGGGGGGGAGGGGGGCAAGGGGGGGGTATGACGTAACCCCCCCCCCGCTGTGTAGCTCCGGCACCGCAGCCGCGCCCGCGCGCGCGACGCGACGAGCGACGAGCGACGAGAGACGACGACGACGACGACGACGACGACGACGACGACGACGACGACGACGACGACGACGACGCGAGCAGCATGTAGGTGGCGATATGCCCCACTGCGCCTGAGGACACCACAACGCTCGCGTGCAACACAGCGCGCGCGTGTATACCAAAGCGCCTGCGTACACCGCAACAACCGTCTGCAACGCAGCGCCTGTGTACACCACAGTGCTTGCGTACACTACAGCGCTGGCGTACACGTGCACACCGCAACCACCATGTGCAACACAGCGCCTGTGTACACCACAGTGCTTGCGTGCACCGCAGCGCCTGTGCACGCCACGGCGCGTGTCTACACCACAACATCCGCGTGCAACGCAGCGCTGGTGTACACCACAACGCCTGCGTGTATAGGACAGGTAGAAGGAACATGTACGTGAGGATCTGCTGCGGACACCTAGACGCCACGCCAGGAAAGTGCTGATAATCGAATGCGACGTTTTTCCCTCCTCCCCCCTCCTCCACCTCTACCGCCTCCTCTTCCTCCTCCTACTCCTCCTCCTCCTATCATCCTCCTCCTCCTCCTCCTCCTCCTCCCCCTCCTCCTCCCCTCCTCCTCCTCTTCCTCCTCCCTCCTCCTGCTGCTGCTCCTCCTCCTCCTCCTCCTCCTCCTCCTCCTCCTCCTCCTCCTCCTCCTCCTCCTCCTCCTCCTCCTCCTCCTCCTCCTCCTCCCCCCCTTCCTCCTCCGTACCCCCCGTCGGGCGGGTTGGCGCTACAGCGCACGTGCGCATCTCAGCGCGCACCGCATAATGGTCTATTGGGTCGGTCCACTTAGTTCTCGGACGGCCAATTTACCTGGAGCCTCCTGGACGCAGACGGGAGGAGTTAGGGTGATGCGGGCGGACTCGGGAGGACTCGTAGACTCCAGCGGCGCTCCGTTGACCATAAGGATTAGTTTCTATTGTTTTTGGTGAAATCCACAAACGCTCCATTCTGTCATAAGGATTCGTTCTAACATTCTATATACAACAATGGTGCTGTGTTGCACACGGTTGCTGTGGTGCACACAGGCACTGCAATGCATGCAGGCATTGTGGTGTACACTGGTGCTGTGTTGCACACGGCCGATGTGGTGTACGCAACCGCTGTGGTGTGCGCAAGAGCTGTTGTGCCCACAGGCACGGTGGCACAAAACTGACGCTGTGTTGCACGCGGCTGCTGTGGTGCACATAAGCGGTGTGGTGTACACAGGCGCTGTGGTTCACGCAGGCACTGTAGTGTACACATGTGTTGTGGTGCAAATCGCAACCTACATGCTGGCGCTACCCGTCCTCCGTCATTCCTAGGCACTCCCATACGCCGCCGGCGCGAAACGTGACGTCATCGACCCCCTTTCCACCCCCCCTAGATGATTGCCGTCATCGGCCCGGAATAAACAACAGGCTTCAGCCGCGTCCGCGCGCACGACGACTATGAGCGACGAGCGACAAGCCACGGGCGACGACGATGACGACGACGACAACGACGACGACGACGATTCCGGACCAGACTCCTATGCGGATTCCTACGCGGACACCTACGCGGATCCCTATGCGCACGGCGGCAGTGCCCGGAGCACACTGGGGGGGGGGGAGCGTTACGTCATGGGGGGGGGGAGCGGGGGCCATGACGCCCGTCATGCCCCAAGCAATAAAGAAACGGTCTCCTCCTCCTCCTCTTCCTCCTCCTTGTCCTCCTCTTCCTCCTCCTCCTCCTTTTCTGGGCAGCTGCCGCCAACGCACTGGGCACGCATGATCTCACGGCGCTCTTGGCGCCGCCGAGGCTCCCCGCGGCGGCCACCACGGCTGCCTTGAGCAGCGCCCGGCCGCGAACCAAGCATCGCGCGCCCCCTGGTGAACCAGTCGCACTGGCCGCGGCTGACGAAGTCAGGGGGATTGCGTTCCGACGCCACCCACCGCGCCCACAGCCGAGCCAGTAGAGACAAACTAAGCGCGCACACGTACACACACACACACACACATTCACACAAACACACACACACACATTCACACACACACACACACACCACACACAAAACACACACACAACACACACAACACACACACACACACGCCCAAGGCATCGCCGAAGGCGTTTGCTCTTGGCCAGGCCCTTGACTACCCCGAGGGCGAGCCGCAGGTTCTTTGCTATGACCAAGAAACAGTTCCCGACACCGCCAGTCCGAAGCCGATGCCGATAGGCCCAGGAGAAAATGTTTGCACCACACCAAACACCTTGACTACAGCAGGCGGCCTTCAGTCCAGCGCGGCCGCGAGCTCTGCAGGCATGGACCTCGTCGAACCAGGCGAGGAAGCCCGCGAGCCCACGACGAACTGACCTGGCTCCCGGGAAAATGCCCAAGTTTGGGGGCCCCTGCAGGAGAATGGGGGCCTTGGAAATCTCGTTGAGGCCCTCCCCGGACATGCGACCTCTGGAGCCGTCTTGGGACGATCTCGGGGAACTCTTGGGCAGTCCTGGGCCGTCGAAGCCCGAATAGGCGAGAACCCCCAAAACTCACACAGACCTCAGAAAAATCGATGTGCGTTTGCCTCCTCGCGGTCCTGTTGGTGCCCGTCCTGGTGCGCTTTTGGGTCATCTTGGGGCGTCGTGGAGACCTTCGGCCGTCTTGGAGCTTTCCGTGGGCCTTTTGGGACCTTATTGGGAGCCTCAAGGGGCCCCTTTGGGGTCTCTCGGGGGCCTCTCGGGGCCCCCTTGGGCCGTC